AAATTAAATGAAGCATTTAGTTGTGTAAAATAAAACGGAAAATAACATCATTACTTAATTATCAATTGTTAAAATTCAAAAGATGTTAATAATTTGAAAACGTAAATTAATATTGCTTATTTTTTGCAGATTAAAAAAGTTAACAAAAGATATATAATTGCATGTGAATTAACATACAAAATAAAACCATAAAAAACAACCCAATTTAAACCGTTTTGGAAGTACTTAGATTTTATAAGTTTTCCATTTTTCGATGAATAAATTCTTTGTTAAAAACCAGTTTTGGAATAATACACACTGCTTAAATGGAAAAAACCGTTGTTGTGTATTCAGCATTAATTTAACAAAAACTTGCTGCGAGAAATTTTATAATATCATTCTTGACTGCACTAATGATCTTTTTTGAAGATAATATTAGCAAAATTTAAAATTACCATCCCATATGAATTATACTCAACTAATTTACCTCTTAATGATAATATTGATTCGTTTTTTAAAACTGTTTATCGATAATTTATTTTGTAATCGACAGTTTTTCCGGAAGATTATTTTTCTGATGTTATCATCGATAAAAGTTAAAACTTGTCTGATATCCACATTTTACAATCTTCATTGAGTCATGATTGTGGGATGTGGTATATAAATTAATATATGCGTATATATTTTTAAAAAATCTATTTTAATACACTTATCTGCATTTGCTCTAGTAAATATTAATGGTTAAATGTAGACCGCGCTCGCGGACCAGTATATCTCAATTGAGATTTGTACTTAACCTATCTATCTTGTTTTGCTGAGGCATGCGTGGAGATTAATAAAACTTTCAAAGATAAATGAAAATTTTTTTTTTTTTGTAGTTTCTTGGATTTTGATAGTGTTGATATTAGTACCGGAACTAAAAAAGGCCACATTTCTCCAACATCGTTCTAAATCGAACGAGTCATTTTTTAAATTTAGGTGAATCGAAGAAAATACATTTGTACACTCTTAAGCGGGATTAGAAGATGGAATTTGACATAATAAATACTGAATAATTGTTTTCACTAATTCTGCTCATAGTGATGCGCTTGATGGACCGGCAAGTTGGTCTTGTGGAATTTTCGCGAAGTTCTGAGAGCTACATTGAGGTTGTTGCCTATTACTAAACTGAGTGCAGTGTCAATATTCACTCGAGAAATAAATATGAACTGACCCAGGAAGGAATCGAACTTACAACGTTCAAAACCGAGGACTCAGAGAATCCTCGCCCCAGCTCGCTCGGTCATCACTTCCTCCATCGCTCTAATTTTCCTCCAACTTTAGGCCAAATCTAACGAGCCGTTTTGAAATACAGTTGTACCAATGAGAATACGTTTACGAATCTACCAGTGAAAGTAGTTGGATGGGTGGAAGATGGTAAAATTATTATCGAACTATCTAGATACCCACTCAATTCTGATAATGTCCATCAACATTGGGTTAATGCTAGTAGATGAAATGTCCGTCTCAGGTATTTTACTGTAGACTAACAGGCAACCAAATTTGTTCATTTTTGTCTAAAACGAAAATGAGAATGTAAATTTTCAATTCTTAGCACAAATATTTTTTTAATTCCCTGTACGGCTTTTCTATGTTCAATAGTGGTGTGACCAAAATGATAGAAATCGGACCAGTATTCCCATAAAAAGATGAATTGAACTTGGTCCACAGGCGGATCTACGGGGGGGGGGGGCTTTCGGGCTGAAGCCTCCCCCCCTCCCCCAAAATGGAAAAATATAACCATGTTTTATGGGGGAAAAAAATGAAAAAATACCTCTTAAAGTATTATTGTTCGTGTAATTACATTTAAAAGTACTTAAGGAATAACTTAAACACCATTTCATATAGGTAGTTAGTTTCTTTCTGTTTTTCCAAAGTAATTATCGTTATTTTTATGAAAAAAAAGGTTTCGGGCTGAAGCCCCCCCAAAATTAAATACTGGATCCGCTAGTGACTTGGTCTAACTTTTCTTTTTTTGTTTTCTCATCAATTCGGTCATATAACTACTGGACCATTCCAGATCCGAATTTGATAAATTGTCTACAAAGTAAAACGTATAGGAGAAAGAAAGAAAATATAACACAGAAAAATAGTTACGGCAACAAGATTCATCAAAAAGAGGTCAGGAAAACACTATGGTTTGCATGCCCGATATTTTAATATTTAGCTGCTTGGAAATAGTGAAGCATTTTTTAATAATTCGCTGTTTTTTTAAAGCTTGTCGATCAAGATGGGGCTTGGTATCTTACAGCAAATCCTGGGTTAGGCAGCTCAACACTGGGACATTTTATCTAAAAGTGGGACTGTGCTGCCGAAAGCAGGAAATCTGGCCGTATTAATTATTTCAATTCATTTTCGAACAAAATATACTATTAGAAGTTGTGGTTATTAAATTAGTTAATTTTAATAACGCATTTAATGGAAATCGAACATTTTCAAGAATTTATACATTAAGAATATTCTGTAGCCTTTTATTTTATATATTTGTTCAAACGGTAGATTCATTGATTTAACTTAATTTAAGGTGACCGGATTTAAACATTGGTAAAGCAGCAGGACACCAATGACCGGATGGGAGGGGGGAGAGAGAGAGGATGATCCAAATTTGCTGTTACAATAATGTATTTTACATACATGATGATAAGATGGTGCAAAGGTTAATCAGGTGACATAGTATTCAGCTGAAATAAGGTTGAGAACTTAGTTCTAAAGAGGTATTTCTGAAACCGAATAATTTGATGGCGTATTTAATCAAGCAGCTTTTTTTTTTCAAAATGCTATCAGAAATGGGCAAATGCTATTCTGAGTACCAATTTCCAAGTATTTTACTCAAATTGAATCACTATTGGGAATTTAATCACTACTTCAGTTAATCGGTTGACATCAACTGAAGTAGTAATTAAATTCTTTGGTACTAAAAAATGTTTAGTATTTGAATAAATTACTTGGTACTCAGTACTCAGAGTTGCGTTTTCCCATCTCTGGATGGTTTAAAACTTATTGAAGATGACAAATTTTCGGTAATCGAAGTAGCAAATGAAGCTAATTTGCTGATGCTAAAGATTTCCTTTTCCTTATCAATATATTTTTTTAATAATTATACTTTATTAAAAATATCATTTTCAGGTTGTTTTTTTAATACCAAACAATTGTGGTTCAATTCTAACAACTGATCAACAATGTGGACTTTGCTAAGCAGTTCTTAACAATTAATCGGTATTATTGAAGTTGAACATGATAAAATTAATAAAAAATTGTATAAAACTCATATCCTAGCGAAGTAGCTACATAGCCGCCGAAAACTGATTATATAGATCTTTTGCATATTAGCCCCGCCAGTTATTTTGTATTAGCAATTTGTTATTTTACGTTATAAAAAAAAACACCTGATATCAAAAGTTTTAATTATAATTTAAGTTATTCCATTTTTGTAAAGATAAAATTCTTTTATATGTAGTAATATTGACTTAAACATATCTTTTCCGTGGTTTCTTATCCGCCAAACAAAGTCGCATAGATATGAGACCATCATATTTCTGGCTGTGCCATATTCCTCATTGTTTCTTCTCTTTGCACCAGCCCAAATTGGCTTTATATTTTAAGTGTGCCCTCCAGTATTAGAATCTATAACGTTATGAGGTTTTTTTTTCGTTATTACATGTTCTGCCACACCTAATTGCTTAGCACAGTACTTTGTAGCAGTGTACTCCTCACGCCAGACATAGATAAATAATATGGAAGTGGTCAAAGGGAATCTTGTTTGCTCTAATTATGTACTGGAGAGTATTCCCATATCATTTCTACAAGAACGTGCATAATAACACCTTCACCTATCTTTAGCACAATTTCTTTCAACAAAATTTATTAGGCGTCCTTTATTACACAAGCGCTCCTCAGAGATAATTCCAGCCTCCTGAAAACCTTAAAAGATTCAATCTCGTCGTTATTCAAACCGACCAAAACGATTTCATTTTGCTAACTAACTGAATCTGTTGACATATATTTATACAATAGAAGAATAACAACATTGATTTAAATATAGCTGATATATTTATATACTCTTCTACAACAGATACTTTTCCTGCTTAACTCATCCGATGGCCCTATGGTCCTTGTGGAACCATGGCCTATTATATATTCTCTTCCTGTTATCCTGCTGTCGTTCCATAGCTTGTCGTCTATTCTTTCCAAAAATTGGGACTTTTATAAAACGCCGCGAGACAAGTTGTTAAAAATCGGGATTGTCCCACCAAAAGACGTCTGGTCATCTTAACTTAATTAGGACTAAATTTCCATCTGGACTCATCAATCAGCCACCTTTTTGGTCTATTCTAATTTGACTTATGAATTCCTACTCACTATCATAAGAATAATAACGACTGAATATTAAAATTGTATAAGCAGTATATTTGAGTTAACGTGAAGCTACATTATCAAGCGATTCCTGAGAAAAAAAGAACCCACACATTTTTTTGTTAATAGATGTTTCAGCTGTCAGGCATCAATGATAATATTTCTCCTTTAAAGCATTTAATTTAAATCTAACATGATTGTATAGAACATCTCCTTTTTAAGCCTCTAAACCAACTGATGATGGACTGATAGGAGAAACATCTGGGAATAAAACAATTATGGAATGATGAAGTTGTTTTTTTCCGTTCTCAGGAAATCTGACAAAATTAAATAACTTTTGAATCTATCAATTTTATTTAAACAACAAAATTCTCAAAGGACAAATGAAAAAGTTAGAACTACCAATGTCTCAATTTTTAAATTTTAAACTAAAAAATGAAGATTTGAACGGATAAATTCATTTAAACAAAGGATACAACAACGTAAAATGAGTAAGGAATAAATAAATACTAATAATGAACCACCGTACGTAGTTGTGTTTTCAAACACAAGAAGCGCAAGTGTAGATCACGTGACCCGCGTTGTATAAAATCCTCTGTTCGGGCATTTATGGCCTCTTTTCCCTACAGATTCCGGTCGAAATAGGTGACACGTTCTTGTTTCAGCACGATGCCCGAGACGTCCCCTTACATGAACGGTTTTCAGAATGGACACACACCTCCGGAATTTCCAAACGGAGAAGTTTTCCTATTTACATCGGAGTCCGTTGGAGAAGGCCATCCAGGTAAATTAAACTATTCTAAATTTTCGTGTTCGCTACAGTGCAATACCGGTTATAGTGTAACATGAACCGAATACTGATTAAGTAAACAACACCTCGTGGTGTCTGTCAGGTTCTTTTATTAACTTTATTATATTTTACTCACTACCGAGCATTCAAATGGACTTATTCTCAATTAACGACACGAATGATGAAGCGTGCATCCTCCATGTTGTAATATTTTTAAGCTGCACATTGCCGTCATTGAGTTTTGTATTTCTCTGAGATAGTTTCAATATTTTACTTACACTTATTGACTGTTGTTGACTAGTCATTACCACTTACTTAAAAATTTTCGTCATTATTAATAGAATTTAGGACATGCCGCCATTTTACAGATCCATTTTATTATTAGTTGTGTATACAAATTATTTATTATTTACACCTTTAATCTATTAAAAATGAATTTTTCTTTCAGATAAAATGTGTGACCAGATCAGTGATGCTATTTTAGATGCACATTTAAGTCAAGATCCTGATGCCAAGGTTGCATGTGGTAAGCAACTTTAAATCAATTATTATGTTTGCTCTACACTTTTACTTCATCGCTTTGTTGCATTGCTCATGTCCAATGATGAAAAGCTATTTTAACTACTAAAATTATCTAGTGCTATATGTCCAGACTGAAACCGTAATCCAGGGGAATACTAACGGAGTAGATCCTTACTCAATTTTCCCCGGGAAGGTCTGAGTCCAGAGCCAATAAACCTTCTAGCAGGAGGGCACCCTTAACAGGGGCGCAGGGAAATAGAAAAAGCAGGACCACAAGCTTTTTGAGTGGGTTAGCTCACTTGTGGACCCTGGTGGAAAAGCCCTGTGGCTGGAGATTTGAGTGAAATGATTACGGCACTGCTTTATTCAGTGTAACTCAATTCAGACTATTCTTCGGGCTGGACTACGTACTTCCTAATTTTAGTATTTCTGAGTTCTTCAGGGACGATAACATTTTTCTGAGGACTCTTAAACATTTTTTTTTTTTTAATTTTATAACTAAATTTTTGTTTTTTTATTGCTATTAATAATGTCTATATTTTAGGATTTTAATAATTTTCATTTCATTTGATTATTGCACTTTTTAATTATAGAAACTGTAACTAAGACCGGTCTCATCCTTCTTTGTGGAGAGATAACTTCAAAAGCTGTTGTTGACTACCAGAAGGTTGTAAGAGAAACCATCAAGCACATTGGATACGATGACTCTTCTAAGGGTAAGCTCTATATAAACTTTCTAGAAGGATTTAAACGTTAGTTTCTCTTATTACTAATGTCTATAATTTTACATTTTAAATAGAATGCCTTTCAATTTAATCTTCATTTAAGTAAGTGCTTTATAGGCAGAATTGCAGGAGGTTAAATTGTTATTTGAAATTAATTTATTGATAATACTTACATTTTTTCATGTTTTACTTGTTAGCTTTGTTTGTTTATGTTTTGTGAAGTTCCCATCAGCTTTTGATGGATAGATTTTATTTTTTATTCATTTTCTTAAAGATAATGATTGACTTTCTATTGAATTAGCTGATAAGAAGGTGTAAATGTCTTATTTGCAAGGTTTTGATTACCGGACTTGTAATGTGTTGGTGGCGATTGAACAGCAGAGCCCAGAAATTGCTGGTGGAGTTTACCACAACAGAGATGATTTGGATATAGGAGCTGGGGACCAGGTAGAATACATCAAAAATAATAAAACTTAAAGGGAATTAGATGATATATAAATTAACTTGAGGGGAATGTCTTAGTTATGCATTTGTGTGTTTGTCAGAAAGCTTTACCTTAGGGATAAAAAAAATAATGTTTTAACATGCTTTGTCCACTTGACATATAATACTGACTTATATTTATAGTATCTAATAATAACAAAAATTATTAAGTATTTTTTTTATTTGGATCCAGCTTAGCTGAGGTATTACAGTATTTAGTAAGTAATAGAGTTGTTAATTAAGCTTACTTAGTCTCATTGTTGTGCCAAGTTTAGTCCAGATTGGATCAGGTAATGGGCAGCTTACTAGGACAAATGGCTGTAATGTGCTCCAAAGTTTTTTTGAATATTTAAATGGAAGAAAATTCTGTACTTCATTCACATTGAGGGAAGCTTTTTCAGAAAATGTTTTTGAATCCTAGGAACTACTATTTTAAATAATCTAACTCAGTCCTACTTATGAAAAATTTAAATGAAATATTTAATTATTCCTGTATTAATTTAAGATTACGAGCTATACGTCTTTTAAATTGAATGATTAGTTCCGAATTTTAATTTCAATTAGCTATGATGTTCTTTTATCACTGGGCAAAGGTTTATCTTTCATGGTTGCTAATCTGCTAATGATTTATATTTTGCCAATTTTCTTACATAAGCTAAATTAAAAGAAAGAAAGAAATAATTAACTGCTGAATAAACTAATGGTTGTTGTTCCAAATTCTATCTTAGACTTTTTTTTATTTTTATGCTGTAACTTTTATCTGTTTTGCTAGTATTTTGTTCTCAATATATTTTATTTGACCTAAACTCAATAGCATAAAGTAATGCTATTATGTCTTTCATTGTTTTTAAATACTATGTTACATTAATTTATTATGTTTTGAATTGGTATCTTTTATATTTACTTAGTTCTTTGTTTATTTACTCCCGGTTTTGTTTTTAATATGGGTTGTTTATGTCATATACTCTATTGTTTTGCTTATTCAAGCTGCTTTTAAACTTTTAGGAAATATGATTCCTCTTATTACTTCCATTACTATAAAAGATAGCAATTTTGTTTTCATTTCCATGGGTTTAAATTGTGGATTCTTTTTTATAATCCATAAAAAAAAATTATTTTAAATTATTGAAGTATTTTTTTGAATATTTATAACATTTATTTTTAAAAAATGAGAGTACTTGTCGGACCTTGCTACCTGTAAAAATGGTGGCTGATTTAAAGAATATTAAACCAGTAACTTTAAAAATTCATTGCGTAAAATGTGGGACATTTTTTAACTTGTATATATTGGCTGAGACATGTAAAAAACAAAATTGCTATAGCAGACCACCAAAGCAAAACTTTATATAGCCAAAAAGTCTGATTTTTTCAACATTTTTTTTTGTTTTTTCATCTATAACTCCTAAACGGTGCCTCAAAGAAATTAAAGGACATTAAATTTTGTGTCGAATGAGTACCTAAATTTTATAATTTGGTTAAGTGGTATGATCAATATCAAATGGTGATTTTTATTAAATTCATCAAAAATTACTATAAATGGTGCTACAGTTCGGAAATGTGTTTTTTCTAAGAGAAAAAACTCATAGAATACAATTTGTAGAGCATCAAATTTTTGTGTCCATCGAGTGCCAACAGTTTTAATGAAGGTTGATTATATCTCTTGCATCAGGATATATTATATCTTCATAATATTCATTGTTTTGTTTTTTTACATCTCATTTCTCAAAATCCTCCTGGTGGAAAAGAGTCCTATACTGTATGTATTAGACACTTTACAAGAATAACTCAGTATAATAGACTGTTGAAGTATTTAAAATCCCATATATCTTCATTATCAATTTCTAGCCATCGCTATTCAATACCGATTTCGAGCATAATAAGTGATCTCCATTAAAACTGATAATTAGTGGACGTGGAATTTAATGCTCTACAACTTTTATTCTATGAGTTTTTTCTCTTCGAGAATTCGTTTCCAAGCTGCGACACCATTTATAATAATTTGTATCAGTTTTTGATGAATTTAGTAAAAATCAGCGTTGGTTGACTGTGGTTATTGATTATACCACTCAACCAAATTATTAAGATTAAGTACTCATTCAATGCAAATTTTAATGTTCTTTTATTTATTATAGGGTAAGATTTTTGCTCCAATATACCATTTAAGAGTGATAGATAAAAGAAACAACTTAAGATCGAAGAAATCTTTGGTTGTGAAAAGTTTGCCCTTGGTGGCCCATGTCAGCAATTTTATTTTTTATATGCCTGAACCTATATATACAAGTTGAAAAAATAGAAACTTCTCACATTTTTTTGCAATGAATTTTCTGTTTCACATACTGTGTTTTGTGTAAACTTGGTTAAATTTATGTGGTTTGCTCATTCACAAAAAAGTAAGACTTAAATATAATTCAGTTTTTGCTTTATCTACATGACTGCATTGAGATTTAAGTAAATTGGTTGTGTCAGAAAGGCATTAGTGCCAAACGAATAAATTAAGAATTTATTAAAAAGTTTGTGAGACGTAGCTATTTATTTTTCTTTTTTTTTCTATTTATTTATTTATTTTTTCTTACGCCACAAAAGATCAAATGTGGAAAAAATTAGCACATTTAATTTTAATTTTACTGTTATCCCAGCACTAGATAAAATAATTCTTGTTAGCAGCAAATCCTTTTTTACTTTACTAGAAACTTTTTTTTTTTTTTGTCTTGCAAGGTCAAATTCTTCATAGTCATTGCCACTTAAAATTTCTACCATTCTTTTTATGAAATTACATCTCGTCCTCAAGAACATTTTTCTGTACATTCATCTCTTTTTGAAAGTTTCTTTTAAATCTACCTCTTGCCTATTTAGCAATCTACGAAGTTTTGCTGTTTAATTACAAATTCTATACCACTCCTTCTTTAAACTTGACTTTAAGACCTTTACTTCATTTTATTAGTTATTTAGTATGCTATCATATATATAAAAAAAAAAAAAAATAATCACATTCTAGTGCATATTATAACTTCAAGAAATAATTCATGCTTCGAGTAATCAATTTTATCTAATTTGCCTTAATCAGCTTTCATTTGTAAGTTTGAAATTCCTTAGTCGTGATTTTTACTTAATATTCTGTTCCCTTTAAGTCTTTCTTCCGTTTAGCTGTTCTAATGGCGTTGGGATCTGCCTCATGCTCCTGGTGTGTTCCTTGGCTATCAATAATCCTAATCGCAATATCGTTTAGAAGTTACATTGATTTCAAACAAGTTGAAAATAGTTTGATAAATGACAATTTAACCACACCACCCAAACTCTTATAATAGCATATTTAACAAAAGGAATAAAAACTTGTAATTTAGTTCTGTTATAGTTTTAATTTTGAAAATCAGTTTAGGGCTCTAGAAATAATGATTAGGCTTAGTCTTGAAAAAGAAAAAAAAGGAATTCAAACAAAGTTAGTGGTATTTTAAAATTAAGCATTATAACTTTGGCTTCAGAATTAAATACTGGTTGACAATTACTTTTACTAAGCACACTCCTTAAGTCCACCGAGGCGATCATTGCAGTCCTACGGGCTGTGGTGGTCACTGACTTTAATGGGTTGGTCATGCCCGGTGCATGAGTCATAGGTGTGCGAGAGCATTACACCTCCCAGGCCGGGCACTGGCGCACTGCCCATCAGTGGGCGCCACCCTGTCAGGGGGACAGTTGTTTCAACTTATCTAACCAGCATGTATTATCTGAGCCATTTTTTCCTTTTGTTTTAAGAGAAAGGTTTAAAGAACAAAACAACCTCTAAGTAAAAGCAAGCAATGTCTCAACCTAAGTGAGGAGTTAAATTTTACATTTTGTTTATCCCAAATTTATTATTATTTTCTCCTGGATAATATTATTCACTGTTCCATGATATATTATTCAAATTATCTTGGTTGGTTTTATCTTAGAGCAAAATTTTGAATTTTTATTTAATACATTTTTTTATTTAAATATTGTCATGCTGTCGGTTTTGATCTCAGTCGGCAATATACTTAGTCTTTTTATTTATTTTGAAAATTTTATTTCTGTTATGGAGGATTGAATAATGATTGTTTGTATTTAATTTGTCTGGTTATGTGGATATATCTTTTATTATTTCTTCACTCTTCATTTCTAACTTTATGTAGAATTTCTTATTCATTCCTCTTTTTGTTTCTCTTTTCTATTCTGAAATTGAACTTGCTATTGTATTGAGATACTCCTCACTTTTATTTTCTTGAAAGCTTGAAAATCAAAGTGTTTATCCGAGGTTATTTTGTTCTTTTGCTTGATGAAAGAAAAAGAACGTGAGCCTGGTGACTAACTGAAATATGCTTGCTCCCCTGTGCTACAATGGAAGGTTTCGACTACAGGACGTGCAGCGTGCTGCTTGCCTTGGACCAGCAATCGCCCAACATTGCTGCCGGTGTCCACCAGAACCGTGACGTTGACGATATTGGTGCCGGCGATCAGGTAAGTTATCTCAATCTGAGACTAATAGCACTTTTTAAGAACTGCATCTTTATTTCATTTAAATTACATCACTTGAAATGTTTATAGTTGAAAAATTTTTATTTTTACTATTATGAAAAGTGATTTTTCAACAGTTATAATTATTCGCTATTACTGAAGTATATTTATTTATATTCATAAGTACAATAATTGCTTTTGAAATAAGATAATTTTTAAAAATATATTTTATAAATTTCATTATTATTATTGTATTGGTGTTAATTATCTAGAAAATAGAAATGGGTTTAAATTACTTAATTTGTTTGAGTTGGTTATTGCATGTTAACTTAAAAATGTCTTGTTTCATTCATACTTAATGTTTTGTCTGGTATTATGTTCTTTAGTTTATTTGATACTAGAGTAATGCATGAAAAGTTTATGTGGACTAAAATATTTTCTAAAACTTAATAAGCCAGTATTAATTCTGCAATTAAACATTATCTATTTTTAATGTTGGTATTAGTATTTTTTTTTAATCTATTATTTTCTTTTGGTTTTTTATTTTCTGTCAGTCTTCAATTTTAGAATTTCTTGGATATTTATTTTGATTTACTGAGTAAAAGTTCTTATTTTCAATGGTGACTTCTTTCTTTTGTTTTTTCAAAAATAATAGTTCATTACAGGGTATAATTAACAAGTCATCTAGGGGGAGAGGGCAAGGGTAAGAGAACAGTTAATATGCGGCCTACATTTCGCTACCTTCGGGCCTGGCCCTCTCCCTCTCTCTATGGCTTGCAGATCAAACTAGCTGGAATTCAATGTAGGGTTGTTTTTTAAGTATCAGCACACTAACTAACATGGAGTTAATTTTGTCATATTAAAGTGTTTTTAAAATTAATATTGACAAGTTAAGATATATGTATGTATATTGATTTGGTCTTAGTGTCTTGACTCCTTTCTTTCACTTGTTCCATTACATGCTCAATTTTTAAGGATTTTGCACACCTCTGTACTCATCTAATTTATGTTGGTATTAAATGAGAGCCTTTTAGGAGTCCTAGATTTTTTCTTCCATCCTCACTGTTTTTGCCTGGTTTTTAAAGCTTTGTGTGCACACCTCTGTCCTCTATCTATAGCCTCTTTAAATTGGGTTACAAATTTGTTTTTGAATTGAGTGTCTTTCAAATACTTATTGTTATTATTTTATCTATAAAGAACTGTATTTCTAAGAATACCTCCGAATTCTACTGATGAAGAGATCAGTGATAGCTTAAATAGAGTAATTAATTGAACATCAAGAAGTGTGAGATATTTTTAACTATCTACTATGAGCCGATAAAATAGTCTTTCTTCAAGAAACATGGTTAAACACATTCAAGCCATTACCTGAGCCATAATGTTAACAAGTCCTCCCCTGTATATATTTTTGTTACTTAGTTTATCAAGATTTAATTTAACAAATATGTATATGGGAGGTCATGATTTATCCCTTTAAGTCAACAAATTTTACTTTATATATTTTTAAAAATAATAAAGTACCATACATTTGTTTATTAGATTTTAATTTTGACTAAATATCAAATTTCAGTGGGTTAAAACTGATTAATCAAAGCTTTCTTATAGATTAAACATGTTCAAGAATTTTTATTTAATATTAGATTAGTTTCTTTAAGAATATTGTTGTTAATTAAATCTAGAATCACTATATGATTTTTGTCATCTATTTTAATTTATTTGAATTATAGCTATAAAGTTAATTCAATTATTTTTATTACAAAGTTGAAGTAAAAATGAAAAGTTCTGTTTTTCCTTTAGGGTCTCATGTTTGGATATGCTACTGACGAAACTGAAGAATGTATGCCATTGACTGTTGTATTGGCCCACAAGCTGAACGAAAGAGTCGCTGAATTGCGAAGGAATGGTGTTTTCTGGTGGGCTCGCCCAGATACTAAAGCACAAGTAAGTGCAATCCTAAAATTTGTACTGTTCATTTAACCATACTTAATGTTCTACTAAGTATACCCAATGATGTTTAAATGAGTATTTGCTACTATTGATGTTCACAATGATTAGAACTTTATCTGAGGGTATCTGCTATATAGTAACATGACTTATTTTATTAGGAATTAAATATTCCTAACTTATTATCTTACGTTATTATTTTTCTAATAGGCTGCCTTGAGCTTATGGAAAGAATAATTTTTAAATTTATTTGTTCAAGTGTTATAAAAATATCAGATATATGGACACTTTTCAATGCCTGTAATCTTTATCTTAAAAAGATATGCGTTTCACTAACTGTCTTACTGATCCCTCTCTCCCCAACTGCAATGCCTTTGAAGATGAAACTTCAATTGGTAGTTCCCCTTTTTGCTGTAGATATTCAATATGGCTGGGTTTAGGAAAATTATTCAAAATCCGGTACTAGTTCACAACAGTTCCGCACGGATTACGCATGGTTCACAATCACTTCGATCACACTTGTTCCTGGAATCCCGAATGCGTTTGTGTTTCTCCGAAAGAGAACGAATGCGACCGATCTCTTGGGCCAGTTACTATTAACTTTCCCGCCATTTAAGTACTTTAACCTTAACCACGTTCAGTTATATAGCAGGAGCAGATTTACATTCGAAATTTAGGCTACACATCATGAAACCTGAATTGAGCTTGTACATATATTATAGATCTGTAAAAAAGAAATAGTAATACATAAAAATCTTTAATTATTACATCTCTGGCTGCTATTTCACGATATTATTTTTCTTATAGATGATTTCCAATATTCATTATCTTGGAATCATTACCTGTTCTTCGTCAGTTGTTTCCTAAATACGTTAATTTCTTTCTCGAAAATAAATACTTTTTTTTTGTACCATAGCCTACAATAATCTCTTTTTTCGGATTACCAAGAAAAATAACTGCGAATAACAATAATTACACATCATAATTACAAATCAGACAGTATATGCATACAAAGCGCCCCCCTCCACGAGAAAATAGCCCCTCGTATTATTAGAAATCTAAAAAAATACATAAACTAGATAGACGATTGCGCAATCTAAAAAAGGCTTGCTAAAATAAATTATAAATTCAATTATTCCAACTTCTATTGAAAAACTCTAATAACAAAAAAAAATATAATAGATAACTCAAAATTATTTATTATCCAAATGATAAAAAAATCTTTTATACACAGTTATAAAAGATAATATACAGTATATGCGCATTTACAGCCACTACATTTAAGCACGTGTCAATAAAAATGTTATTACTAAAAGCTTTTTTTTTTTTTTTAATATGGCTTGAAGAAACGATTCAAACATTATTTTATGTTTCTTTTTCTTTCAAAGTAATAATCGTTATAATAAAAATTAATAATTAACTAATTAGTAAATACACAATTTTTTACGTAAATACACAAAAATACGTTGTATTTTTTTCAAAAATGCATGAAAAGGGATTGTATTATAGGGCAATAGCTGACGTCATAAAAGACGACAACATTCGGCTGTTTTCGGGATTCCATGAACAAGTGTGATCGAAGTGATTGTGAACCACGCGTAATCCGTGCGGAACTCTTGTGAACTAGTACTCAAAATCCTAAACATTGTCCTCTGAATAACCAAAAATATAAGTTCTCTGGTGAGCGTTTGGTGTTTAATTATAACTAATAAAATTCTCTAAAGAAAAATTGAAGGAGTACCCCTGTACAAATGTGACCAGTATCAGGAAGAATACAATGCCTGACAGAATATTAATAATCCCTCATACGTTTATTATTCCAATTTAATAAATAAATCTTCAGAAGAAAAATAAAAATCTTGAATTATTGATATCCAATATTTTATACGCTAGTTAACTGATTAGCCTAGTGAGATTAATATTTCAAGAGAGCAATCAAATTTATTGTATGACAGTTTAAGACATTTTAAGTTTCATATATTTTTGTATTTACCAAAAACTTCTCAGTAATGAAAGTTAGTAATATCAAATTATACTTTAAATGGCTGTATTATATGTTACCCTGTGATGTTGTTACACATGTATTTGCTACTTCTGGAGTTGATGATGAAAGTCAAACCTCTGAGGGTAACATATCAGGTTGACATCACTAGTGATGAAAAGAGAAACCTGAAATCAGTAGATTTTCTTTCAACAACACAGAACAATTTTTTTATGCTTTAAAATTAAATTCAAAATAATTATACTCAGTTTAGTTCAAGATTTTAAGCTTGCTTTAAAATTAAAAACTAAGTTTTGATCGTTTAATGCAAATCTAATTAAATATTAAGGATTTACTTTTATATGTTTGTTTCAGCTCTTTAATATTACAATATCTTATTTGCCATAGGTGACCTGTGAGTATAAATTTATCGGTGGAGCATGTGTTCCACTTCGTGTCCACACCGTCGTCATATCAGTTCAACATTCAGAAAAAGTAAGCTTATCTGAATTGCGTGCTGCTGTAAAAAAAGATGTTATTCATCAAGTCATCCCTGCTAAATACCTAGATTCTGATACCATTGTTCATATCAACCCTTGTGGAGAGTTTGTTCTTGGTGGACCTCAGGTAATTAATTTTTTTTATATTCATTAAATTATATCATATTATAATTATTTAATATTATATCATATTTAAAGTTTAAATATATTGGCGAGTATCTATGATTGTATCTTTTACTTTTAATTTAATTAAGAAGCTTTTATTTATTTGTTGTTAATTTTTAAAAACCTACTCATTTTCCAAATCTCACATTGCGTTAAGGATTAAACTATAAATGTGAAAAATTAGTTAGTTTAGTCTTTAACACTTAAATGAAAATATTGTTCTCTGCTCTTAACTGATCAGGGGAACAGGAATTCCTTCGGTTGCTTAATACAATTTTTGGTATTGTTCTCGAATATAACCAGATTTTGTTTAGATATTATTACGATCTTAAATAAATACAATACGTCAAGTAAAAATTATTATTTCTATATCATCGGTATGAAAAAAAATCTAGTACCTAGTACAGAAGTCCAGCTATCATTTTAAACTGATTTTCAAACTTAAACTCATTAAATTAATAATAAAAATAACCCTTATTTTTTAAGTTTCTTAATTTACTCTAAAACTATTAAAATAATTTATAACAAATTTAATCCCATTTCTAGAAAAAAATAGTCGTAAATCATAAGTTTATTAAAACTGTTCTTATTACATATACTACCTACGGCTATGCCAGTTGATTTGGCCTGGATCCACATACCTTCATCAGTCATTTTTTTTTTTTTTCACTTCTTAGAGGCTGGTGGTCATCTATCCCTGTGTTTGATCTGCAGTTGATAAAACAGAACCAGGTCTTGTATAATAATAGATATAACAGAATGATAAGCTGTCATAGCCAGATTCAAATCCGGGAGTTCAGAGCCATCCCCATCCCCATATATATTATTACAGTAAGGCTTGAAATCGGTTTTGTACCAAATATAAGCTCCTGTCATGCTCAGATACCATGAATGGGGTACCATTAGATTCATATTCTCCACTATTGTTTTTCTTTCTAAAATAAATTAAGTCGATACAAACATTTTGCTAGGCATCAATAGCCTAACGGTAGTAAGTCTGTAGATTGATGCAGGACAAAGTGGGCTTTACAGATTTTGATGTGTACAGCAAGACCCGGATATTGGGCCCTGTCTTTTAAAGCCCAAAAACGTACTATTTTCGAGATGACGCAAGGCAAAGGGTTCGCATCCACACAACCTTACGTTAGTTGTAGTACTGTCATTGAATACATGTCTCATTTCGTCGACTTAAGGCCCCTACGATTGAGAGAGGAAGAGTTTATATTATTTATCGGAGGTGTTTTTTGTCAGCAAGCCATATCATCGTTAATTTTGCACCAAATCCCCAGATTGAGCCATCACTTTTGAAGGCTTCCTTTTCCTCCAGGCAGGCATAATAGTCCTATCACCTCGAAAATTCAGGCAAAAAGGTTATAAAAGAAAGGAAAATTTATTCGCGAATGACTAAAAATACTTTTATCTTGGTTAGTTATGTCCATGATTATATAAAAAATTACTAAATTCCCTGAGAAAGGTAGAACAATCATCAAAATCGTCAATTTTTAGCAAAGATACAGCTTATTGAAATTTGTAAACATGTTGGTTCTAAACATTAATGAAGTTTTTAATTAATTTTTGTTTCCATTGTCTATTATATTTATCAATAAAGTAACGATTGATTTTTTTATCTTATGATACATTGCATTATTTTATTTTCTTATTAATTTGCCATTTGATCACTTAACAATATGCTGTTCGAATTTTTCGTGCTGGCCTACTAGTACTAAAATACTATGTTCAGAGTACTTCTTATACTGTTAGTATAACTAACGGAGTCTTTAACGTGCATTAAAATTAACATGTTAACATTCTTATAACATTTGTATATTGTTTTAAAACTTGTCTTTATTCAGTGTACATTTTTGTTATTTTTAATTATGTTACTTTTCCTCAATTTCAGTGTGATGCTGGGCTTACTGGAAGAAAAATTATTGTTGATACATACGGTGGTTGGGGTGCTCATGGAGGTGGTGCTTTCTCTGGTAAAGATTTCACCAAAGTTGACAGATCTGCCGCTTATGCTGCTAGGTGGGTTGCAAAGTCTCTCGTCAAAGCCGGTCTCTGCAAACGTTGTCTCGTACAGGTTTGTTCCTAGCTTTTAAATCTGTTTTATCCTCAAGCAAATTTTCTATGCTAAACTTATGAATATTTATCTCATTTTTGTTACAGGTCTCCTACGCCATTGGGGTCGCGGAACCAATCTCCATCACTCTTTTTGACTATGGTACGTCAACAAAGACACAAAAAGAATTATTAGCCATTGTGAAGAAGAATTTTGATCTCCGACCGGGAAAAATTGTCAAGTAAGTGTACAGTAAATTTGTGTACTATTACTATTAAATGTTCTCAATCTTTATATTAAAACTTTTATGACAAACAAGCCAATGATGAATATCTGTATTTGCTACTCTGATAAATCATTTCATTGAAGATAATCAATTCCACTTAAATCTGAGGCTGTTTTTAATAAACTGAGTTTTTATGTATTACAACTGCGGAAAAAAATCATGTTTCACTTGAAAAAATAGTCTTATTAAATCTCGTATTGAGAGCCATTAACAATGTTAACCTATTATTATTAACCATTTTGTTAATGATTAAGCTTTTAACAACGATGTACTCATATATGCGTCCTGGTGATAGTGGACTCGCGTATTTGTCCAGACTCTGTCTGGCTTTTTCTCACTAAATAACTTGAGTACTAAGTGATAAATTCTATTTTCTAACTATCTCTCAGTTCTCCTGTGAGGTAGCAGATAATTTTTCTGTGGCTGGAGATTTTAGACTTTTTGTTATGAATAATTTTATAATTTTGTGTTCATTATTTCCATTCTGAGTATTATAATACATTTCAGTTTGTTTTTTAAAAAAGAAAACATGACAGAAACATGAAATAGTTTTTTGTTTTTGGTTCATTCAGTTGTATAAAAATAAAAGTTCATATTTTATATATAAAATAAATTGTATAGTTCATGTTGTGAAATTTTTTTTTTTTATTTCAGAGACTTAAATTTGAGAAATCCCATTTACCAGAGGACGAGTACTTACGGTCACTTTGGAAGAGAAATATTTCCTTGGGAGCAGCCTAAGGAGCTTATAGAATAGAGCGTAAATACCGCATTCCATGTTTCCCTTTCCTTTTAAGTACATCCATCCTATTGTAGAGCTGTAGAAAAGCATTTAGGGATGTCGCGTTCACTTGCAAAAAAAAAAACAACAAAAAAACCGAGCTCATGATATCGGGAAAAAAGTTTTTAAAATGTATGTTTTGTCTTGTAAATGACTAGGTAGGGAAGTTACTCCCTTGTGTGATTATGTTGACTTTATTATTATTATTATTATTTTTTTTTTTTTATTAATTCGAAGTGTTGACTAGTATTTGACCAATTTTCACCATAGCTTTAAAACTTCCTATGAAATTAGTTTAAAATAGTAGATTTTCTAATTTATTTTGTTTTGTTTTTTAAATTGTCTTATTCTTTTAAGAATTAAAAAAAAAAATGAACAATAATTGTCTCATATTTCGATCGGAAGATGAAAGGGGGTTCACAATATTCTGTCTGACACATTTGCCTTTCACCAGGATTTTTTTCTTTTCAATTCTTCTAATTTAACACTGCATTCCTTTTCACTTTTATCGTCTGAGGAATCTCGGCGATGAAGAAATTGTACTTCTCATCGCTGCAATGCCATGTGCTATAGTTTGTAACATTTCTAATTTATTAATTCTCCAATGTTGAGAAGTTGTAGAGTTAAATCAGTAATTAGCACACGGATTGTGTTGTGTTTACTTAAAAGAAACAAATCGGGAAAAGAGCTTTTTCGTGAACACTCCGATTCCTCGACACTTATCTTCACTTGTCCCAAAAAATATACTAATTTCAGAAAGATAGCCTCACCCCCCCTTAAATGCACTTCTTTTGATTTTTATTGATTTTGTCTTTTTATCTTTGGTTTTAAAATAAGGTTCGATTAAATTATTTAAATTTAGTTTTAGTCAATAAACAATGTGAAATTATAGACTACTTAATGATTTTTTTTTCGTAATTCCTAATGAAATGTGAAAAAAATTACCAATAAAAATTTTGTTTTTGAGTTATAAGTTTTTTTTAACCTTCTCTTTCTTCCTTTTTTGAAATTTAAATTTTATACTAACATTTTTAGTATAAATATAAAATATTTTTAGTTCTTCTGTGTATATTATTTTGTCCACAAAAAAAAAGTATTTTATGTTATAAATATATCAGAATCCTGTTTATCCGATTACGTAACAATTAATGCCTCAATAGAAGGCACAAGACCATGTGGAAGGCCAAAAGACATGGATAGATAGAATCAACAGAGCTGCATACCAGATAAATAGAAATAAATAACCCAAGACAGGCAGAGATGGAGTAGGTTTGTTGAGGCAGCAAAATATCTACATGGTCTGTAATGCAAAAAGAAATAGTTTGTCAACAATTGCTAAAAGTATTAACATCTGTTAATAACATGTTTCTGATAACTTTCTTGTGTTTTGTTAGTGTAGGTAATATAACTTCCTTATGATTGTTGATTTTTACTTCCACTTACCTATGAAATATATAGTAAGGGTAAGTATTGAGATCGGGAAAATTTTGAATCTGAGTTTTCAACGGAAATACATGGTCCAAATAACGAAGTCCTGCAAAATAATCTCTGTGTGTGTTAGCAGTCGCTAGACTAGACTAGACGTATACTTATGAAGTATAACGTCACATTAATATTTAGAAGTGTTTTTGTATGCTTTTCATATAATCATCAGGCCTTTCCTTTCGAAGTGGCGGCCGAAAAACCTGATTCGCTTTAGACTAGCGCCAATACAATTTCAATGAAACTTGGCTAAAGTTTTCCCCTTGAAACCGTTAAAATTTATGTATATAGCACACTTTCCCGAAAACAAGCTGCATAAATTTTTATGATAAATTCAGTATTTTATTTGCCAATAACTCAAAAATTACACGTTTTTTTTTATTGATAATCTTCCTGAATTCCCTACAAAATAAAATTTAAAAAAATCATCGAAATCGGACTATTTTTTGCAGAGATGTATCGTTTTAAACGTTAAGTACTTTTTCTTTTGTAAAGTCGATTTCCTCTATTTTGGTTTTTGATAAATCGAAAACTTTAAATTTAATGAAGTGATCAGGACTATTATTTGAAGAGATGATATTAATACTCATTCCTAACTTAAATACTGCACAAGCAGTAGTAATAGAACACGAATGAGAGTGAAGTACTGGCAGGAGCTATTTTAAATAAACGAATTTTAATTCCAAGAATTAATTTAATATTTTCTGACAATACTTCCATTCGAATTTCAAAGAACAAAGTTCTTAGTAATAGCTGCATTTGCTATGGCCATAATCAAATCGCAGGTTCAAAGTTTTGGAAAGATCTGTGTATTATTCGCATGGACAATTATATGTAGCAGCAAGTAGAGCACATTAAAATAAAAATTTTGAAATTTATATTTCCAATGGCAATGGTCAAGGCTAATGTACTAAACATTAAAAAAGAAGATTTTTTTCAGGGAAGTTCTGCATCAAAATGGATTTAAACTCAGTTGGAATTGCTAATTTAAATTTATTTTTTACTTGCTTAATCATGACATTAATTTATTGTGATAATAACACACATAGATTAAAATGGAAATTGAATGAGTCTATTTTGTATTACTTATAAATAACTTTAGGTAGTTCAAGCTCGATTTTGAAGTGAAATTGAAATTTTGTTTATATTAATAAATGAGGATTTTTAAATTGTGAGTTACTCTTTATTTATTGAATTTATTTTTAATTTAATTATGTTCGAATTTTTAATGGCTATGGGCGAACACTAGTTATAAATAATAGCTCATTATAAAGAGTATGGAATGCTGAACAACTCCCTCGCTTACAGCATGGAGGTCCGAAGTTTACTTTCTGAGATATTTTAATCCATATCTTCAAGAAAACTCGTGTAATCATTTGATTTTCAACACTATTTTGTCCTTTTTGCCTCTCTGGCAAGTTAAGATACATTTTTTTAATAATAGCTCATTACTAAGAGGATGTATTAATGAACATTTCTCTCGCTACCATAACAATATGTAGGCACTATTTTTAGTTTTGGAAATATTTTATTCCACGTGCAAAAACACTTTAATTAGTCGATTTCACCCGAGCATTGCACATCGGATATCTGATGACTCAATATAATTTACTCTCCACAAAAAAAGTGCAAAATGCACCCAAAGAAGTTTTTGACTTAAAAGAAAAGTTGGATTGAACTAAGCTAATTTTGAAGTGTTTTTAATCTTTGTTAAGTTCGAAATGCATAGTCCACTACATTATCCAACCTGATGTTTCTCTATGCCCATTGTTCTTCTATCATTACACTATTGATGGAAGATATATATAAATAAGAATTAACCCTAATTAGAGCTTAACACTAATTACAGTTAATATGAATAATACATGCCATCGGTACCCCATTATATGCTACACACAAATTTAGCAAATATGATGACTGCTGGATAAAATACTCTAACATTTATAATCACAATGCTTTCCTCCATAAACTAGCAGCTCTAGACAAAAGTATGAAGCAATTTTCATGCTGTTTCATAAAAAAATCCACTACAGTATTAAGAGTAAATAAATTGTAACATTAATTGAATAATTACTATTTCAATGTAAAATGGTACACTTGTATTAACAAAGTCAATACTTTATTCTTCCGGTTCTTTTTCTTTGTCTTCATCTTCAGTGGGTTCGTCAATATGTATTTGGGATCCCATTACAAAGTGTCCTTCTAAGGTTTCGAGCTGGGGTATCTTTTTCTTTCCGGTCTTCAACCAATCTAATTCTTCCATCTCTTCATTTATTATGTTCCCTTAAAATAAAAATTGAAAAGTCAGATGGTAAATAGCTCCCTTCTAATGTTTAGTTAATTATAATTTATATCTGAATATCGATGCATATCGTGAAGCAAGGTTCTTAGTAAAATCAGTGTTAATTTTAACTCTTATTTACAACCAAAGATTAATTCCTTTCCAACTCCTTGATTAAAGATACATATGTACAAGTATCTCTTTAATTTAAATTACTTCTTTAGCAGTGTGGGTACATAGCAAACTACATTCATACACCTGCATGATTACAATAAGTGTTATTTGAGAATCCATAAGTCTGATTTTTTTTTAATTTTAATTTTAAAAAACAGTATTCGCTTAAAACCGTCTTTTGGTTAAAGACTTCCTCTATGAAACTTTTCCAAAACAATATAATTTTTTATCTGTAATTACGAAATCTTTATCAAACTCCTAAAGACTTATCGCATTAAGCCTTAAAATAATATTTATTTTCTGTGTCCCTCATAAGTTCCAGCGTACGGTTGAAATGTTATTAACATTTTATTATTTATAATTTATTATATTTTAAAGGATTATATAACAAAACCCTTATATAAAAAAATCAAATAATTTTATGGCTATCCGATTCCTAAAAATACAAATAATTATTGTGATGATTTATGTTAGTTAGTTAGATGATAATGTTTAAAATTACCCATAAAATATAAGTCAGTCAATTTTGTAAGTTGACTCAATCGGTTGAATTCAGACCAATCTTTGACCACATTGAATTGCATAGACAGTAATGTTAGGTTTTGGAAAACTTCAATTCCTTTTGTTCTCTCAATCTCATTGTAGGAAATCCACAATTGCTCTAAGGTTTTCGCTACAGCTTGCTGAAAATAATACAAGAAATATTCTTAAAAATTCTTTCGAACGAAACTATAATAATTCAATAACTACTGTTGTTCGAATTCTTAGTTTTTCTGGGAAAAAATATTGTAATAGTTCATTAAACATGAAAAATGAATGGATGGTTCTAATAAGTAATCATTATTAAATTTTCCTACACAGCCCCAAACATAATTCATCAATATTTATATGTGGATGGAATAAAAACACTGCTCAACTTTCGATTTTGTTCATTGCAATATTATTTTTTCGTTCGAGACTATGCCCACCACTCGCACGGTTGAAGCAATCTGTTAAAGGAGTGTGAAATGTATAATTAAATAAATAAGCAAAAAGTTAAAAACTATAAAATCAATTGTTAAAAAAATTTAGTTAGAATATAAAATCAATAAAAGGTTAAAAAGTATAAATCTATCAAATAAATTGCCTATAAATAAGTTACAATATAGTATTAGTAAAAAGTTAAAATTTAAAAAACATTAATTGCCTAAAAATAAGTGAAAGTTAAAATCTAAAAAATAATTATCTAAAATGAGTTACAATATAAAATTAATAAACTGTTAAAAAGTTAAAATCTTAATAAATAAATAAAACAAAGAAAATAATATTTGCCTAAAAATCAATTAAAAATAAAAAAAATCACATCACATTAGTAACTTTAATATATTGTCTAGAATATAAAATAAAATACAAAATATAAGATCATTTAAAAAAAAAAAAAAAATCAATTCACCAATAATAAGTTACAAGATTTGTGCATATATAGGTCTACTTTAATAATTTGATTTAAAACGTCATAGAAATAATAAATTATGATAACAAACTATTTTCTTTTTATTTTATGGGAGAAAGAGATCGAATATATAAACTAGGCAACACTAATATTAGTTGGGCTCCTATGATTGTTTGGATAAGACACACTGACCTTCCTGGAGATGGCTGCTGAGAAGTGGTGGGGGCCGACCAGTACCAGGCTGCACAGCGATAAGAATACTCAACTCAAACTTAATAAATTTGAAGTAGGGAGAGTGTTGTAACGAACAGAACATTCGCCGAAAGTTTGGAAAAATTTGCATCCAAAACGTTATTGGTTTCTGTTTGGTGGTTAACAGTAGTAATAGTTCATTTCTCCTTTTTACCCAGATGTAAAACCATCGCATCCACATCATAGTGCAGTGATATTGACATAATACATCAAAAATTAGTCAAAAAACAACCTGCACTGGTTAACCGGAAGGGACCTATACTCTTCCAGACCTCATGGTTCACAACAAACACTGAAGAAACTAAACATGCTGTGTTACGAAATCCTTCCGGTGTGGATGTGGGTGTCATTTTATTCGTCAGACTTATCTCCAACAGACTTCCATCTGTTCAAAAATTTGGACAACTTTCTTAAAATTGAATTTTTTGAAAATGATTCTCAGATCAAAAACCCTTAAATTTTTCAGTTCTGGGATTGAAAACTTGACAACACATTGGGTAAAATGAGGGTAAATATTTTGAATAAAAATATTTTGTTTTACTTAATAATCTTTCCTGTGAAAACTGACATTTTATATGAAAGGAGCCAATACTTTGTCTTGTCCACCTTGCCCCACCTATGGGTAGCCATAAGTAAACATTTTACTGAGAGTTAATAAAACATAAGTTGTCAATATTATTTAAAAAAAAAAATTAAAATATTAAATAGGGAGTTGGAGAGCTTGCAGAATAAAATACTTAAGTATCCTACAACTTATTGTATATACCATTGCTTTGAACTGTTTTCTCCTTCATACTAGACCATCTGTATTAAAATAGTGTAGTTACATTTACATTATAATATTAAATAGAGTTATAATACGAAATGCACATACTAATCCATTCAAATTTTTGATACTGTTTCTTGCAAGGGAGATGATTTTTAAACACTTCATTCCTTGGAGACCAGTTATTTGTTCAATATTGTTAGTTGACAGGGATAAAAACCTGAATAAACATAAGAGGAAAAATAGAATTATTAAATGGTTACAAGTAAAATATAGTAAATGCTTATAAAATCAATATGTTTTGTTAGAATGTCAATTTAAAATGAATAAGAGTAAATTTTATTGTGGGGCATTCAGTCCCCTAAGAATAAATATAATGAATAATTTAGTGACATTTGTCTGGCGTACCAAGTTTGCATCTTTTTGTTATTAATTAAATTACATTGCTATGAGTCTTAAAATTAAAATAAAGAAAGGCAAAAATTTACATTTGAATTATAACTAGACGTATAATAGCGTGTTTTTTATATAAACAAAGTGTAATGTATTGGTATCTGTAAGATAACAGTAAAATGAGATGACAGCTCTAAAAAATATTACTCTACATATATTCGAAAGATTATTGCTGAGGAGATGGAAAAATAAATGGTGTTTAAATGAGGTTAAGGATAAGGATTTGCGTATTTACAAAAACAAATTGCTGGTTTTAAACAAACAGGTCACACCCATAGTGGATATTTTAATGGGAAATGAAATAAAATGTGTACCTATGAGCAGGAGTGGTTCGACAAATAAGAATTAGTCGAAAGAAAAAAAGCAATACAAGTAAACATAATAATAACCATAGGGAATCCAATATTTAATAGTGAAGTGTACTGGGACCTCCGTAGTGCCGTGAAAAGGCAAAAGACTGGTCGGGCCCCAGGTTTAGATGCAATTAATACGGCAATGCTCAAGAATAGTATTCCCTATCTAGAGAATAGGCTGGTTGCGATTTTCAACGACTGCCTAGATAGGGCATACTTTTCAAGAAGCTGATGTCAGACTCTTCAAACAAAGGAAGAGACAAGGACAAGCAACTTGCCAAATCATACAGGCCCATTTATCTCTTCCTATTATGAGCAAGGTACTGGAAAACCTGGTGCTATTGGGCCTTCGGCCAGTCTTATCAAGATCAAGCCATCCATGGCAATATGGATCCACTAAAGGCAAGGGAACCGCAGATGCGATATTGCGAGTACGTCATGACGTAGAAGAAAGAACGGAGAGGTATGTCATGCTTCTCCTGTTCGATATATCCTCTGCACTTGACAGGGTATGGTGGCCGAGTGTTCTCCAGCAACTCCAGAAGTATGAAGCTCCCAGTAATCTGTATGAACTAGTCAGAAGCTACCTCCTGGACCGGACATTTAAAATTAGGGGCAGATTCCTTGAAGTAAAAGACACCGTCGAGAGGGGCTGCCCGCAGGGATCTGTTCTGGGTCCTGCCTTGTGGAAGTGTCTTTGACGAGTTGCTGGAGAAGCTAGAAGAGGAGCGATTCCCTTCCAAGGCCTATGTAGACGATTTGGCCGCCATGGTGGCCTCAAACAGCATAGCCGGTCTGAAAGCAGAAGCTGAACGATGCGCCAGTTTGGTAGGAAAATGGTGCGAGAGGAAAAAGTTAAAGATGGCTGCAACAAAGACCCAGGCAATTCTCATGAGGAGTACGACTGACAGGGCACATCATATTATGTTGAGTATAGAAAGGACACGTCCAAGTGAAGTTGTCACCTACCTTGGCATTAAAATTGATCGAAAGTTCAACGTGACTCGTCACCTGGACTATATGAGAACTAGAGTCACAGTGGTCCTAAATAGACTCAGTCGTGTCGGAGGCGCCTTCTGGGGTCTCAGATACAATGACTATATATAAAGGAGCAGTTTTGGGTATTCTGAGATATGCGTCCCCAGAAGAGAGAATTACCCGCATTATAGGGAGTTCGTATACAGGTGGAAAGATGCCGTAGGCACTACACATTTTAATCTCGGAAGAAGAGAAGGAAGTCAAGACAAGCTGCAATTGCTTCGAGAACCGGCTTCAGGTGGAAAAATGGAGAAAAGGAAAAGAAAAGAGAAAAGTGCAAACAAACAAGTCTACACCTCATATAACAATAATACAAACAATAATGTTAACCAAAATTTAATTAAATTGACCTATACTGCCAGCAGTGGCATACTCATACTGCTGCTACAACCCGTATTGCCTATAAAGCAAGGCAGGGAGGAAAAAAGAAAAAAAGTGATATGTACTGCTTTGATTGTTACAGTACAAATTTTACAACTTTCAGGTAAGTAATTTTTCGAAAATATAAGTTCACCTCCTGCAAAAAACATTTTTTAAAAATTTTGAACTGAATTCATAAAAAGTTTAGCTTGATTTATTAATTTAAAAATATTTTAATTACATTAAAAAAAATGATTTCAAATCAATTAACAATCGATATACTTATAATTCTTTTTTCTGTATTTTGAGCTCAAATTGTTTCAAAACATTGACGGGATCTATTCTATTTAAATAATTAATCAAACTGAGTAATTACCGCCGTCAAAGTTCAAAAATCTATCATGTCGTTCGCTCAAAAAATCTTCACGTACCTTTTTGCTGATTGGTTAAACACACTTTATACAGTAATTTGACAGAATGTTGAGCTCAAATTATTTCGAAACACTCATGGAATCTCAACGAATAATCTGAGCCATCAAAATTAGAAATTGATCCAGTCGTTCGCTTAAAACAGCGTTACATACCTTTTAGCGGACACCTCGAACATATTTGTCTGTGTCGTTTCGCTTTCTAAACACTCACGGAACCTCGATGAATAATATAATACATCAAAGTTAAAAATTGATCCAGTCAATATTACAATAGTCAAAAATATTACAAAGTTTTTACAAATTGATTAAACACATCTTATTTAATAACGGGTCAATATTTTAGCTTAAATGGTTTCGAAACCCTCGGGGAGCTCACCGAACAATTTGATCCATCAAGGTAACAGAGGTGTACATTCCTTTGCGAATCATGGGTTGAATCGCGAAAATTGAACAACTCCTGTTCAGGGACGACTTAATAACGAAGAGGAAAGTCAAGAGAGACCTCACTACTCGGGATATCGGCTGGCAGGAGAATGACTGTCACCGGATATATCTGAGTGAGGAAATGACTCCCACGAACAGACACTTATATTGGCTCGCCCGACAGAAGAGAGCTGCGGAGAAAATCAAATATACGTGGTTTGCCGCCGGAAAGGTGCGATGTCGAAAGGAGGACGGGCATAAAGTTATTCTGATTGAACAGGCCTCGGACCTCGATATATTTGCCTGACCACGAAGAATTCGTCTACTCCTCATCCTCTTTAAAATAACTTTGAACTCAATTATCCACAAAGGAACATTTTCACTTCTACGCATAGAGATATCTCTTCACACTTACACACTAATTTATATTTTATTGACCATATGTTTTTTATTTCTTTTGGTTCCTGCTTACACTTTCTTTTCTGCTATTTTCATTAATTGTAAACGCCTTTTTGTATTTTCTATTTGTTTTAGAGTTTCTCTGCCAAACTCTGACTGTTTCCCTCCCAATTCCTCTCATGTCTAGTACCCTAATCACCTGTCATGTTAACTCTCAATCCCTCCCTGCCCACTATGACGAGTTCCTGCAATATTTCACTCAAAACTTTTATCATATTATCGCAATCTCGGAAACTTGGCTTAAACCTTACATCTCTTCCTCTTCTGTTTCCTTGCCTAATCACACCCTCCTCCGTCATGATCGGGTAAGCCGGAATGGCGGAGGAGTAGCCATGTTTGTCCATAATAGCCTGAAGACTCGAATCCTCGATTCCTCACCACCCTCCGATCATCCTCAGGTTGAATACCTTCTAGTAGAAATCCATTGTAAGGATCTTCCTCTCCTTTACACTGTGGTATATCGTCCTCCCCATGTTCCATTTGATCAGTCCTTCGAATCAACCCTATTCAACTTCGTTCCTCTATATCCCAGAATAATCATCTCCGGTGACCTCAATACCAATTTCCTCTCTAACTCCAATGACAAATCCTATCTAGAAAACCTAATTTTCTCTCTGCACCTCTTCATAGTTCCATTTTCCCCCACCCACCACACCAGCAGGTCAGACACTTGGCTAGACTTCTACATTATAGACTCTGTACAAAATCTGCTCTCCTCTTCTCAATTGCCAGTATCATTCTTATCATCTCACGATCTTATACAAATAACATATAATATCCAAACTCCTTCAATCCAGCCTCGAACTATCACCTTCCGTCACCTAGATTCCCTTACTCGAGAAAAAATATTACCTGACCTAGAAACCCTAGACTGGAATGGAATATATTCTTGCTCTTCCATCGACCCCATGGTTGACATTCTTACCACCAATCTTCTCAATATTCTCAATACCCATGCTCCCCTCTACCTTTCGTCACCGGCCTGCTCCTTGGATGTGTCAGGAAATCAAAGATCTGCAGAAGAGGCGCGACGCTGCCCGAAGACGTTTTAGACGTACGAGGCTTGCAGATGACTACCAAGCGTTCAGGGTGCTAACAACTTGGCACAGACAAGGATCCGGCGTGCGAAAACTTCCTACTTCCATGAAACCCTTTCCTCAGCTCCTGATATCAAATCGGAATGGCTACTGCTTCGTAAACTTTCCATTGGTAATTCTTCCAGATCCCCTACCGCAGCCTATCCTGTATCCTCCGATGATTTAAACTCTTATTTTATATCTGTCGCTAATACCTCTTCTCTACCTTCCTCTTCTGGCTTTGCTCCAGAGATATCCTTTAACGACAATAACTTTTATTTTTCCGACATTTCTCCCATAGACTTGTTAACCGCGTTAATGAAATCCCACACCAATTCCATAGGGCCAGACGGCATTCCTATCAAATTAATAAAAATATGTCTACCTGAAATCCTCCCAGCTCTCCTTTTTATCTACAATTTCTCCCTTCAGAATTCAGTATTCCCTACCTCTTGGAAAAAAAGCCATTGTCCTTCCTTTAAATAAAAAGCCTAATCCATCCTCACCCGAAGATTTCCGTCCAATTTCAATTATTTCTAACCTCTCAAAGCCTCTTGAAAGACTGGTGCAATCCCAAGTCTCCAAGTTCCTCGAAAATTCCAACCAATTTGATCCTCTCCAATCTGGTTTCCGTCCCGGCTATTCCACACAATCTGCCTTAATTAAAATTACGAACGACATTCAATCTGCAATAGATGATAGAAAATTAACTGTCCTTATTCTTCAAGACTTCTCCAAAGCTTTCGATTCCATCAACCATTCCATCCTCTTCAACAAACTAAAATCATTATCTTTCTCCAATAGTTCCATCTCTTGGTTCCAATCTTTCCTCTCCCAACGCACCCAAGCAGTCTCCATACCCAACCAACCACTATCTGCTTTCCTTTCTTTATCCTCTGGAGTTGCCCAGGGTTCAAGCATATCTCCTCTCCTTTTCAGCTCCTACATTAACGACCTACCTAAATCAATTCTCCATTGTTCCCATCACCTTTATGCAGATGATTCCCAGATCTACCTATCCTTTTCTCCCTCTGAGTTACTGGGGGCATTTGCCAAGATTCAAGAAGATCTTGATCGAATCAATGCCTGGACAAATGTAAATGGATTAAAGTTAAATGCTGCCAAAACTCAGGCCATCGTCATTGGTTCCAAGCCCCTCATTAGATCCCATACTGACTTTCCCATATTACACCTTAATGACCAGCCAATTTCCTTCTACTCCTCTGTTAAAAATTTAGGATTTTTCATAGATCAAACCCTCTCCTGGACCAACCATATTTCTCACATTTTCCGTCGGACAATCTCTACCCTTAAACTATTTCATCGCTTCCGCCATCTCCTACCTCAACATATCCGTAGACTCCTAATTTCCTCTCTCATCTTCCCCCACTTTGACTACAGCTGTGTGGTGTATGATGGCCTCTCGGTGGAGCTCCGTGATAGACTGAAAAGATTAATGAATAGCTGCGTAAGATTTGTTATTGGTGCCCCGAGGTACTCCCATGTCTCTCACCACTACACTGAGTTAAGGTGGCTCTACCCCTCCTTCCGAAGACAATACTTTCTAGGTACGTTCCTCTACCAAATCATCAACAACCATCGTCCTTCTTACGCCTACAACCTTCTCCAGTTCAAATCCTCAGTCCATTCCCTGTCCACAAGATCTCGATCTTCTGACCTTTACATGCCTTCTCACAGATCTGCCTCATTCCAAAATTCCTTTATTGTTCGCTCTGTCAATTTCTGGAATTCCCTCCCTATCAAAATTCGACATTCCCCCTCCATATCCACATTCAAATCCCTCCTATTCCAATTCCTATCACAAAAACAGTCAGATACTTGCTAACCATTCGAGTGGATTTTAATAGAGAATTTGATATATTTTTATTTTTTTATTCTTTATTTTTTTCGGAAAAGTGTATACTGGTCTAAATAGCTTTAAGTTTCTTGTCATAGTATTAATGGTTTTGTATATAGTTTAGTTTGTTTTGTATATAGAGTTTTTACCTTATATATTTTTTACAGTATTTCTTTTTTTCGATTTATTTTGTTTTGGCCAGATGTAATATTTTAATTTTGTTCTAATTTGTTATTCTCAAGGGACTGTGTCCCAGAATAAAGTTATTTTTCTATTTCTATTTTTCTATTTCTAAATTCCAAATTTTCAATTGCGTTTTTCCATAAATATAATTTTTGCATTTTTTTATTTTATTTGTATTTATAACTGCATTATAAATAAAAATGCATTCAGTAAATGTGAACTGAAGAATATAATAACATGAAACCACTTGTTGAAAAACTATCCACTCTAAAAATGTATTTACAACAGGAGATCTCTAGGCCATCTTCTTTTCAGACACCTCGGAGGGTTATCAGAGATCTAGGAGGAAGCAAGATTAGAAACAAGAGGGTTTGGATGGTTCTAAAATTTGTTATGAAAGGACAGGTATCTGGATTGGGCCAGGTCAGAAACATAAGGAACATTAAGGTCGTTATGGATGATTTTATTTGTGACAAAGTAAGGAGCTGTGAGGATTTTACGAAGGATTTTGGATTTTAAGAATTGGATACGAGAACAATTCGATGGCTTGATGGAGTCCCAAAGCTCAACTCAGTAAGTCCAAATAGGTCTTATTAAAGTCATGTATATGAGTCTTTTGTAATTAACTGGTAGCTTAAAGCGTTTGTCTAGTAAGTGCTGGAGTAGTCGGAAACGTCGAGCGATTTCTTGTCGTCTCAGTCTCGTATGAGGATTCCAAGTTAGACATTTGTTCAAGTGGACACCAAGGTATCGGATTTGTTAAACAGGGATAAGTGGGGTATTATTAAAGTATACTGTAGGTCAGAAGGTCATACGTTTACGAGGAGGGATAAAGTTGATTTGATGGGATTTATTGGAGTTTATTTTATCCTTACTTAACTTTTGCATTTAAAACACTATGAACGGGCGCCATAGATGTCAATCATGAACGATCTTCTTTTCATTGAAATTGCCTGACCCAAGAGATGCATCTTACCCGTTGAAAATATTAAGCACTAACTCCATTCAAAACCACCTGTAACTTACTTCTAGTTAAATTGTGTATTGCTTCCCTTCTGCTAAATGTCCAACTTAAGTAACGGAACGGATAACAACAAAGTTTTAAATTGGACTTTATTCAAACTACGACACTACTTAATTAGAAAGGCATATAAGACATACTCGCATTTTGTAAGGGTTGAAAGAGCATTGTCCATTTTTTCTATAGGGGGGTTCATGAACTGCAGTTCAACTGAAGTGGATTTTGTCGGATCTGCCTTATCATTTTCTTCTGACCATTTAGCAAGAGCATCTTTTATGGATGTGGATGTCATGTTACGTAAACAATCTTAATGTTACCTTCAAAAGGAAAATAAAAATATATATATATGCATGATATGAAAGTATATATATACTGTTGCTATATGCGCATTCTTACTCAATTATTTTCCGAAATTATAAATACTGATACAGAAAGCATTTTCACTAAGGAGCAGTACTTTAAATTACTTCCAGTTCACCTACAATAGACTTAGCTTTAACAAAAGTTCATTGGCGAAAATTCACAATGTACCATAATGAAGTTGTAACAGAATGAAAAATGAGTTATAGTGCGTCTGAAGCGATAAAATTGTTCTAATTACACGAAATTTAATATTTTCGAACCACTATTATACGACTTAAATAAACACTCTATGGCACACATGATTGGAAAAAAACTGTTTCATTTCTTAAAACAGAAGTATTTGTAAAAATATGTTTGAATATTAACCTATATATATGTAAAAAAAAAAAAAAATCATTTTACGTTTCTCTAATTAATTCTGCAAAGATGTGGCACTTCACCCAATATTACTTTAATTAAACTTTGTAACTAACTAACGTACTGGGTATTTATTTTTTTTAAATATTTAAATTGTTATTTATATTAAAAAATAATAATCTATACCTATATATCCTAGGATTTTGTGACATGCACACTTTCTCTCTAGGGCAAAGTTGAACTGCATCGGCGATAATTCATTTCCTCCCTAAAAACTTTTCAACCTTCCAAGACTTTAAATTTTCTTGTATCATTAGAGACTATAAAATACAATTTATCTTTATCAAATCATTTTAGGGAAAAGCTTCGAATAACAAGAAATACACTTAACATGATGTGGTCGAAGATTATATTAAATAAGCGGGTATCTGTAAAACAAAAGACATTAATATTCAACTCTACGGTGAGGGCTATATGTTATGGAGCACAGTTTCGGGGCTACCAAGAGTTCGAGGAGATTGAAAAACTACAGAGGTATTTTATAAAAAAGATGATTGGGCACCCAGATAATACTCCTAACTATATGCTATATCTCGAAACTGTATTTGGATAATTTGTGTATTTATACTTCAAAGTTGCACATCGAGTATATAACAAAAGTGTTGGAAATGGATCACCAACGACTCCCGCATGTCATAGTTAAATTAGTCATCGAAAATAATATAACATGGATGAGGGCACTGAGAAGGATTGAAACAAAATGTGACATTTCTTTCACCAAAAAAAGATTTGCTGAAGGAGTTGACAACACGTAAAGACATTTTACTTGAAAAACTAAAGCAAGAGAAAATAAATTATTACATTAAGAGGGCAAGATCAGCAGAATATCATAAAATGTATGCCAAATTAGAATATGATTGTGGGTGTCTTTTTTTTTACCTCCCAAAATGTTTATTTAATCAAATTACAAATATAGTATTAAATTACATAACAATACAATACATACAAGTAACAAATTCCTTCCACTGCCCGAAGGCATTTTAAGGATTGGGGATAGCTAAGGGTTACATATGTGGCAGAAGGCCTTGTGACTTTCATTGAACGGGGACAGACCGTTCTGCTAATTATTTATTATTTACAATAATTACATATATACACATTAATGGGTTTGGACCGCCGAGATCAGACCACATCCTTCGGCGAGTATGTCCACCAAAGGGAGTTTACCTTGCCACCTCCTAGATCTTGGTGGTGGTGAGATCTCATTAAACAGTGGGTTTGCACAGGCCTTGAACTCAGGTACCGAGGGGAGCTGGAGCTCCTCGCGTATTGTTTGATTCTTAGCCCTTTGTAGGGTGGTGCCACGGACAATTCGCCGAAGGATAGAGTTCTGGAAGCCCTGTAGACTCGTAAGCGTGGATTTATATAGGTATCGCAGTAGAGGGGCCCCGTGGAGCAGTGTAGGTCTTATAATAGCTTTATAAATTTGGAGCTTGAGTCTCAGCGAGAGCTGCTGCGACGTCAGTAGGTGGTAGAGCCGGTGTGACTTCTTTCGTGCCAGCTTGATCCTCTGCCTAACGTGATTGGAGAAGGTTAAATGTCTATCCAGCGTGACGCCGAGGTAGACATTTTATGATAAGCTCTTCCAACTGTGAATTGTGTGGGGAGATGCTTCTTTCCCTTCTGAAACAGCATGACAATAGCATCAGTATTCGCAGGGTTCACTCTGATACCGATCTCTTCTAGCTCTTCAACAATTTTGGCTGAAGAATTATGTGCCAGAGTGAGTGCAGTCTCCGCGTTGTTGCTGGAAGCATATATGCCAATGCCGTCCGCATAGGCTGCTACCACCTTCTTTGGATGCTTGAGTGCCACCACTGGCGCCGTGAAAACGACGAACAGTATTGGCCCCAACACAGACCCTTGAGGTACTCCGCAGGTGGTATCGACTGGGTTTGAGTAGTCTGTACCAACTAGTACGACGAGAGATCGTCCGCTGAGGTAGCTTCGGATCAGTCGGCTTAGAGTGGCAGGAAACCTGAACTCTTCCAGACGGCGAAGTAGATGCGTGTGGGACACGCAGTCAAAGGGCTGGCTGCAGTCCACAGAAATGAGCACCGTAACTCTGTTGAGACTCATTTCATTTATTGTTTGGGCCTGAAGTTTAGCTAGGTGGTTTTCACACGCGACTCCTCTCTGAAAACCAGTCTGCTATGATGGTATGATGCTCTCTTTCCAGTAGTGCTTCATAAGATGATGGCAGATTAGCCTCTCGAAAATCTTGCTGATGTGCGAGAGGAGGCTGATCGGACGATAGTGCTCAGCTGAGTCCCCGTTCTTCGCCGGCTTGAGTAACGGTACAACGATCGCTTGTTTCCATGCGGAAGGAAAGTATGAGATTCGAAGACATGAGTTGAAGATGTTCAGTAGAAAAGCTTTAGCCTTCCTAGGGAGCATCTTCAGCAGTACGCACGGAATCTCATCCAGTCCAGACGCTTTGTTTCCTTTGGTGCGCCGTAGTGTCGACTACAGCTGGTTGAAGATAGAGAAGACGGGTTCGTCGTTGGGATTGGGCAGTGGTCCTTTCGGTGTTGGTGGTGTATTTCTCGTCCGCTCAGCATCCCTCGCTTCATAGCTTTTGGCCAGGAGTTTAGCCTGTTCCTTAGGTGTCAGCAGCTCATTCCCCGACGTCAGGTGGACAGTCCTCTTCTTGTTAATGAACGTTCGGACCAGTCTCCAGAACTGGCGGTGGTCATCATGAGTCCTCCGGAGCTGGTCATGCCAGAGTGAGGTCTTCCAGTCCCGCATGAGGCTGGCTATCTGCCGGTTGATGACCGGTTTCAAGTTGTAGTCATGCGTGCGCTGAAAGATGTTCCTCAGGTTGTTCCTCTGACTGATCAGGGGGAGGGTGTGACGTGGTGGTCTCCTGATTGCGTTGGACTGCGGAACGAACTTAGGGATGTTCTGGTTGGCTGACTCCTTGACATTGGTGGTGATGACACCGCCTCGTTCACCTCTTCTACTACTATCCGGCACGGCGTTATCGCCGGTAAAGTGGCTTCAACCTGTATCCTTTCCAGTCGGCCTTGTGGAGTAAGTATTTACTCGCCGATGGTGTGCTCTCGATCGTTTGCTTTCTTCCTCCATGAGAGAAAACTGCGTCCAATGACATCTAGATCAACGGCAGAAGCTAAAATTTGGCACGATTTATTAATAATCGTTCTTCCTATTTGTATTTCCGACTTTTGTAGCACATTCCAACGTAATATTGAACAGCAGGCATACTAAACAATCAGCGTGTCTTGAGTTTCTTGTGGCTATGGACAAGCTCAGATGTGTTTCAGGATACTCTCACTGAGCATTGAGTAGCCTTCATGATCATTCCATCATACAGCTCCTCTGGAATCACACTGTCATAGGCAGCTCCGAAATCCATCTAGAAGTGGTGGGTCTGGATATTGCACTCATATGCTCTGTCCATCACCGTCCTCACCGAGATTTGGTCCGTTGTAGCTTTGCCTTTCGTAAAGCCTACCTTATAATAAACATTATAAAAGGAGATAGCAAAATATCTTATAAGCAGAGAGAAAGAAGAATGTTCCTCTGTGGTTATCGCAGTTAAGAGGATCTCCCTTGTTTTGAATGGGGCACATGACAGTTTTGCATTATTCTTCAGGAAGAAGAACATCCTTTACCCAGATGTCTAAGATCAGATTATAAATATTCTTGGTAACTTCTCCCCTGTGTTTCCAAACTACACCCAGTATTCCATCCACACCTGTTGCTTTATTATTCTTCAGGTGATCTATGGGGACCTGAATATTCTCTTCATCCGGTTCCAAAAGGTTCCAACTTTTTACCAATGAAATTGGTCCTTTGTGGCATCCATTCTTCCAGGAACACACACACTCTCTCTCTCTCTCTCTAAAATTTTGAATTTTCTCAAATAAAACATAAAATATTGTGAAACAGATTTTGACTGAGGTGAATGGTTGATAAAATTTATTGAGTCTTAATTTTAAAAAATCGACCCATGCTTATTTTATTTTATTTTTATTTTCATTTAAATAATGTTTTTTTTTATTTCGTTTTTTCTCAAAATTTTATTTTATTTTTACTTGTTTTAATTTAATTTCACTGAAGATACTGTATATATTCTTTAATATTGATTAATGTAATTTTTGGCCAGATGTAGTTTTTATTTTTTTGTTCATATCTGTTATTCATAAGGGACCTTGTCCCAGAATAAAGTTTACTTTCTATCTATCTAAAATAGAATTTATATTTATTTATATTTCAATAATTAATTTAATTAACCACACATCAAGATAACTTAAGAAAATTCAAAAAGCAAAAGAAAATTGTTACATATAGCATTTTCAAGTCTAATTTAGAATATTCCAAAACAAATAGAGATTGTTTCTAATTAAATTTAGAACTTTCAAAACTAAATTGGCATTTATCCGAACCGAATTTAGAACTTTCTAAGCCAAATTGGGAGTTTTCTAAACGAAATTTGAATTTTCCATTTCAAATTAAGATTTTTCCAAATAAATCTAAGAATTTTTATATAACAAATGAATAGAGTATTTTAGTTTTCTTTAAATTCATTAGACATAGTACGTTTTACGAATAATAAGGTGGGGCATTGCATTATAGCATTTAAAGAACAATTTTAAAAAATTTCAAATTAAAGTTCAAATTTTCAACACATAAAAATCAAAATGCCAGTTTGCTCAATCTGCACTTGTTATTGTAGATACAGCTCCTCGAATTAATTTGATCAATTTATGCTTTACTTGTTCACACAGAAGATTCCTTGTCCTGATTTGTATATTGGAGAAGGCTTTCTAAATTAGTCCATGGTGCAGACCCCTTTTTATCAAATCATTAACATCCGCCTAAAACTTTGTGAATAGCTTCATCTTATCGTAACCTACTTTTTATTTACGAAAATTCTCAGAATCTACTTTCTTAATTATATACTAAAACTCATAATCACCAATTTACTTTCAACTT